CCTAAACCCTTTCCCTATCGCTGCTCGTCGAAATGTGTCGAGGAGGCTAACAAAGTTGTGATTTACCCATTTTTGAAAACAGAAGGAGTAGATAACTGCTGTCGGTAAGGCCATCAAGGTGGGAACATGCATTAATTGCTACTTGTAAACAAACAAAAGCTTTTTTTATTTTCTCACTGAAGTGACTTGCTGGAAACTGAAGCCTTACTCTCCCATTCTACAGGCTGTTTCAACTTTTGCATTCGCATACGTACACTGCACATACACACATACACATACGCTTACACATACACCGCATACATATGAAGATGTACACATATACACATAAGGCAGGGATAGCCGAGTGGATAAGAGTGTAGGCTCACGTCTGCACTTAGAGGGAGTGCGAGTTCGATCCCTGCCGAGGCAACTCCATGCCTTGCAAAAATTGCAAAAATATACACAAACATACACATAAAGATGTACATTCATATACGCATACGCAAATATACCCAGACCACATGCATATACGCAGGTACCATACACACACACGCACATACACACACATACACGTACACACATACCCTTATACAGGCAAACGTAGCGAACTGCGCAGTGCATATCTGATCAAGAGATTGCTCTTATGTGACGACATGCGTTATGTTTTCGTTTCGGCAAAAAAAGTTTCACTACAGCCTTCATGCTAGAAGTGGGGATCTCGAATTATCCGTTTTCATACCTACAAATTCATCGAATGGACGCTAAGAATATTTAGGACTCAAAAAACCCGATTACCAGGACAGTTTTCGACTTGTGGTCCCAATATTACCAGAAATAATAATTGATCGGAGAATAGAAAACCAAACATTCTCGGAAAATGTATGAATGAAAGGATAGAAATGAAGGGAAATGGGAAGGCGATGAAAGAATTTGTTTAAACGAGAATGAAGTTCGTGAAGTAATATGAAAAGCAGGCGGAAGAGGCTTGGCAGATATGGCCACTTATCGATAAATGCGTTAATGCGGGTGATGATGGCAGTCTCCTGGAGTCCTTCTTATGAATTCCGAGCACGAATATCTGGTCACAGGAAACGCTATGCCGCCTTTTAATGTGTACGGATGGGAGTGTGAAATAGTATTTCCGTCTGAGATAAAGCTTTTCCCAGCCAACATACCCTGTTTGTATTTATAGACGCAAGGGTGGAGGTGGTGTAGTGACAAGTTGCGCACTAACTCACAAGCATGGTCACGGGTTCGAATCCCTAACCGGTATCTGTCCAGGCCAACAGTCTCCTATCCGTCCGGGGTCGTTTACTTGGTACGATACTCGTCTGGAAGGATAAAAGTGTAGGCTATATACCTTATACGCATTTAAAGCCCCTCTACGGTTTTGAATGGGTCTTGAATACCTAGGCGCATCCCAAAGACAGGAGTGTTTGAAGCAAAGAATTACAGCCGTCATCCTTCAGACGAAGACACAAATGAATGTGCTTAGGTAAGTTAAGCTGTAAAAGACCTGGACAAACATTTGTGAGGGCATGTTTGTGTTCATTTGATATGTCTTCGTTCAGAAAAAGGGCTCCCTTAGGTTAGCTGATGTTCTTAATTTGTTTGGAATGCAGGGCAAGTCAGCCGACCCCCTTAGGAAGCAAGCATTCATAGAATTGGACTATTTTGGGATCTATTTATGGTGAACAGATTAGTAAAGTAGCGGTTTCACCATTAGCGTTATGTGACGTTGACCAGNTTTCACGAATAATTTCGCTGAACTGTGAAGAGCTGTTTTATGGAAGCTTGTTTACTTCAGCGCTTTGCGCTTTTTTTACTTTTTTATTCTTCTCATCTCGATTGTTTTGCTGATCACCTTCAGTGTGATGACCACAAGATTTGAAGAGGTCCATACCCTGTAAGGTCGTCATAATTAAGCTAGACACTTGATCGATTGAGGTGAAGATAGGTTAGAGTCATAACGCTGCTACAGTGCTGGCTCATCCCTGTCATCCCATCTAACTCCTCCCTTGAAGAAGGCGTGACAACCTCGTGATGAATCGCGATTTCGCTTCCGCCAGTGACTAATTGATGAGTGCCAGCGAACATCCGGCGTTTGCCATGTGAACGTCTGGTGTTCGATTCGACAAGCTATCGCCGCCTTAATGACACACTTCTTCCTCGAGGACGTTCGGATGGTGTCTTTGGCGAGTCTTACGGGATTGGCAATGCGTCAACGTCTAACATTTAGAAAAAGAGCGATTTCGGTAGGAAGGAAACCTATCAGTTTGTGTGGGTTAAGGTGGTCTTTGAAAAGGTAGACATGGTAGGATTGCAGATACTCGCTTCTGAAAAAATCAGGGCGGCGAGGGTGTGGTAGCAAAATGGCGAAAACCATCCCTCGCATGACCGGAGTATTGAATCCAGGACTGATACCCGCCTGAGCTGGTTCAGGCACAATGAGGGCACTCAAAAACCGAAATTAATTAACACTGGCGACTATTCTTTTCAGTCTTTTATTTAATTCTTAGACAGGATGAAGTTGTGGCTATTAATCAATCCCGTCTGAGGGATGCGCCAACTCATTCGACTTTCATTCAGAATCGTAGGGGGCGTATAGAATGCGTATGAGGCCTACACTTACGGTGACCAACTAAGTCGGTGCTTTTATCCCACTGGACGATTCTGGTACAAATTAACCGACCCAGAAGGGATGGAAGACTTGGTTGGCCTAGGTGGAAACCTATCCTGGATCCGGACCCGTGACCGTGCGTGTGAGATAGTGCGCCACTTGCCACTACGCCACCTCCACCGTTTTATTGAAGTATTGGTAAATAATTTATCCGTATAAGGAAAGTCATGAATTAGATGGTTATTTGAGCTTCGTGAAGATTTCTCGGAGATATCAGGCTGCTCCTTATGAGTTCATCTGTTGAACTGGACCTGGTGGAGTTGTGAAAAAGTGAACGGGGCTAGGCGTAAGCTCGTAGCTTTCAACTTCTTCATTTCTCGGAGCCCATTGAAGGAAGATCTGGCAAGAACAGCGTTCACTGGCGTTTGGCTTGCATAGAAGTAGTATTATGGTTATTGGTGAACTGGCTGAGGCTAATTATCAACTGAATTAACATTATCGACAGCTGGACAAATCCACAGTGATCACTGAACTCGGACAGTTCGACTTCTGCTCGGACTAGTTTTCGTTTGTTCGTTGCTAAAATACAATTCTTGCACTCAGCCATGTGAGCCAACCAACCAAGGCGTAAATCCATATCAGGCTAAAATGTTTGCTCATGGCCATGTTACAGCGTCAATATTTATCTTCAAACATTTCCATGCTGCCTCCCCTGCCTGCGCCCGGCGCCGTCCCCATATCTCATTACGATTGCTACCGAAACGTGGCCCCTTCCCAACCAGTCTTATTTCTGAAACTCTTCTCCAAGCCGCTTCTTTTTTATAATTTCATTCAGCGGCTCTTGCGCCGTCCGTTCAAAGCCCATTTAGCTTGGTATCTTCTTTTCTGTAGAGAGTTTCTTTAAGTTTATTTACTAAAAACTTGCTTCACATTTGCTGCGCGATTTACAGTCTGTTGGGCGTTCCTGTAGTACTAACTTTTTCGATTTCCCATTGAAGGTTTTCCATTGATAGCGGACCACCTAATCAAATCAGTACCAGTTGTGTACTTTGAGGGCTCATTTGGTACAAATTTGGTTTTAGCGCTGGCTTGCTATGAATTCCCATACCATTTCCGCTGGCTTGCACTTGAAAAGGGCGCTCAGAAGGACCAATGACTAGAGGTAGCTTTCATGCCATACGTGACCGGGACGGGCTCCTGCCCAGGTCAGTTGAGTCTCATCTTTCCGAGGTCATACATATATTTGCTAGCAAATATCAAGACTAAAAAGTATAGATGCGGTAGTATAAAGATTAGATGCTATTATCAGTTTATGCTGAAATGTACCAGAAAGAGCCTCTTCTTTTTACATTTTTTCTTTGTAATTTTGTAGACATTCTGATGGTTAGGCTGTTACAGTTTCTATTGTAGCCGCTTTGAAATTATATGCTCAGCGATTGCTGCGATCCCACTGAACTGGCGCTACTCAGAATTGCCAAAGTCAGATAGGCAGAAGACAAACTTAAATGTAACCAAATCGTCACACTGAACTTCCTGCGATGCGAAATTTGGAGGGTTTGAGGAAGAAAGGTAGTAGGGACTACCGCGGCGTACGTCGGCTTTGTGACTCTTGCTCGGAAGCTGACGTGAAGGCAGATGGCAGACATTTCGAGCAACCTGATGAAATGCTATCATTTGAATGATTTTTTCTACTGGAGGAGTATGACGGTACTGCCGTTAGATAAATCTTTTTGGTCATTCCCTTTAACAAACAGTATCTCTTGTGCAACAATACTTTTCAACCATCTTGAAACTCGGGGGGCTACAGCATTGACGATCTGGGGTAAGGCCTTTTCCAACTCTCGGATCGCAACCACGCATGATTTCATCGCTGACGTATTCAACGATTGACTGGTAACTTTCAGCAAATGTTATCTCGGAAATCGGGTTCTTATTAAAGCTGGAAACATCCCGTAATTGACAACGTCTACTATCCCATCCCTAAGCATCCGTAAAAGAATTCGAAGGAATAGCCGAAAGAAATGGTAAGGACGGCAGAAATAACCCCATTCTTTGTCCTCCTTCAAAAAGCCACGTAACCTCAACCTAACAGACCAACAACCAATAACTTCAGAAAGTTCTGGAAGTTACTGAAGTACTTTGAAAAGATTGAAGACTAAATTGGCAATGAAACGAAGCTTTAAAGATTCATGTGACAAAACCTCAACCTGCCTATGTATCTTTACGCCATTTTATGAATCTTCTCCCGGAACTTCTTAGCGATCATGCCAACATTCTGAAAAACCTTTCTCTAAAGCTCTTCGTACTACACACTTTTTCCATTGAAGCTTTCAAGATTGTTATGTTTTTTCGTTCTCGACCACCAACTTGTTGACTTCTGAGATTATATTTCTAGGCAGCAATGGGAAACACAGAAACGCCAGCTCGAGTCCAAATTGCCGATCGACGTTCAGCTGCTGATGGCCCAAAAACGCGAGCTCACAATGCAGTTGGACCGGGAGCAGAACGAGAAGCACGAACTATTTCTGCAGGTCCGTTGGAAAAAAAACAGAGACGGGTATCGCTTTCCATGTTCCTCACAAGGGCACAGCGGACATCCATTTGATACCGTATCCCCGGCAGCGTGGGAAATGTATACATTCGCCCTTTCAGCGGAAGTAGTGCGGAGCTCACTGAACAGCATGATTTTGACAGAAAGGGTATCGTGATATCGAAAAGTACCTTTATTGCACTTCAGATAAATTCCATGGTCGCACAATTAGCTGAAACTCAGCCGGCTGGAGAAGTGGAGAAATTGAAAACGGATAACAAGGAGCTAAAACGACGGGTGGAAGAGCTTGAAGTGAGTACTGTAATGAATTACTGTATTTGATGACCTTTTGAGAGCTTCTGCCTTTTTAGGCTTCATCAAATAGGGAAACGAGCCGTTTAGAGGCTGACTTGCAGAAAGCCCGAAATGAAAGTGAATTAATGAGACATCAAAGTGAACGAGAAAAGAGGCAAATGCAAGAGGACTTGGAGGAAACCAAGAAGGAATTGCACATGAAAGCTGCAGCTCTGCAGTCGCTAATGCTTGCCACACAGGTGGGTATGGAAGCTTTCTTTGAGGTCCATAGCTTCAGGAAATTACCCTACACAGAGTTTGAGCTAAAAAACTGCATTTTCTGGTATACCATAACTGGATTCACCCAATCCCGATGACATGGGAGTCTCTTGTCATGAAGGTGGTTCGGTCAACTTGGATGAGTTCGACATGCACCGTAGTCGAAGCTCAGCCTTGTTGAAGTAGCCCGAGAGAAAAAGTGCTTCTCCACCCCTTACCTGCTCCATTTCCCCACAAAAACACAGGGAGGCAATATTTGGTTCTTGTTACGCAACGAATTTTTCAGGACAGTGCAAACACAGAACGACTTAAGGAGGAAAATCAACAGCTCACGAACCTTCTCAGGGAGGCCGAAGCAGCCTTGGCCACAGCAAAGAGGGATTTGGATAAAAAAGATGCGGAAATAGACAAGTTGGTCAGGTGGGAAATTGTACTGTTAAGTGAAGGAATTAATATTCAGGAACTGAGTGAGCAAGTGGTCATTACGATTATTTTCAGGGCATCGGAAGACAGCGCTGCCTCATCGGAACAGTTGGAGATGTTTGAGAAGAAACTCAGCGATGCTGAAAAAGTGCTCAAACAGGAGATGGCCACCAAAGTTAGTTGTAGGATTTTTATGCCTTCATCGTTTTCATTTTCTTTCATTTTTTATGCTTGATCGCTTCCTTGCAAGTTCTAGCACAGTTGTTTCGGTAGAAAATTCCCCAAGAAAACTTTTATAGGATTTATTGTAGATATTATTTGAAGAAAAGTGAATTATAGGGATGAGCAGAGATCCGCTCTGCTTAACACTCGGTAACTTTTCCTTGAAAATTCACTGAGCCCCATGAATTCGACTTAATATTTTAATACAAACAGACCTCACGTATGTAAACACACTAGACGGGGGACTATCAACAGCAAGATATCATTATTCTTCAGCTCTCCCCATTCCAGGAAGCACTCAAGCAGTCTTGTGAACAATTAATCAACGATGGTAAGCAAGCTGAGGAGAAACTGAATGAGTGGCGAGTGAAACATGAAGAAGATCAGAATATCATAACCGAATTGAGAAGCGATATCGAACAGCTCGAGAAGGTAGCTGGTCATCCTTCGAGAGAATCATGGCGCAGAAATATCTAAAATTTCCAGGAGGCAAAGGAAATGGTTGCTCGGAATAGGCGGTGGGAATTCGAGCGAGACGAAGAAGTGAAAACGCTCACGGAAACTCTCATGAAGTTCGAAGCCACGCTGAAGGAAAAAGACTCCAAAATTAATGTAAGTCCCTGGTTTCGATGGTCGCTTGATTTTAGCAGTATTCCACAGTCCGCTTCTTAACTATCCACAGCCGGACACTTTCTTCAATCTCATGTGCTTCAACTAGATTGTTCTCAGATTATACTTTTTCTGAAATCAGTTTCCTTACCATAAATCTTCGAAACTGATCTCTAATTCACGTTTACTTCAAACATTAAAATGAATTTACTTTAATGAAGAGTTCAT